TTATAACAAGAAAACGCAGCCTTCTGAGGTAATTCTTTTCCGGAGTTTTACAACACTGTAATAAACATGCATTCGTTTAGACGGAATGATGAGACCAGGGAGAGTAGATGGAGACCTCTCTCACGATAATGTAAAAGTTTAGTGCTCCATGGCAATTGAAGCGTCGGGCAGGGAAGTTTGAATTCTAATGAGATTACCTACAATAATCTTCTTATACAGTGAAACGACAATAACTGAAATGGAAAGAAAAACAAATTTATACGCACTACGTTGTTGAAGTTTTCAAGTTCTTTTACATTTGACTTCTTTTGAAGAACTGGAAGCGTTGGTGGGTTGATAAGTTTTTAGTCGTTATTGATTTCCAGAGTAACTTTCAAAAGTAGATCGTGACTTTGGTTTTTCTTTTATATTTTATTTCTTTTACTTATTAGAACTTATATACACAGATGAAGACCATTTGTTACATTAAAATATTTTTAAAAGTTTTTAAGAAACGAAAAAAATATAAGATTTTCAACGCTAGAACAATCGAAAACTGTAGAAATATACTGCGCCAGTTTGTAAATGGACATCACCGTTTCTTGTTACGCCCTAAAATTAAAATATGAATTTCAAATCCAAGGGGCCATGATATCTGCTAAATAATTTTCAAAATACCTCTGGTAAAAATACTGCTTATGGTTTAACCGCTAGCGTATTTCAAAGACATGGAGAGAGACTGACGTTTGTGTCAATCAATGTTTCAGAATCAAAAACTCTCTAAACACATATGTGTTGTGGGAGGTAATTTACTAAAATCTAATGTGTTATGAGAAATAATTTACTAAACGTATGGTTAAAATTTACCCATTTTTTCGTTACTATTGGCCGATAATATGAGTTTTTCTTTAATAAAGTGTGTTTTTTCTTGCAGCATTACAATGGTCTAGGTGGTAGTAAGGAAGTACAATTTAGAGCAGTTTTTGATAAAATATTTTCTTAAAAATGCCTTTATTTCTCACCAAAGTACACGGAAACTACTCATATTTTCGAAAAATGATTCATGAACTTTTCAAAGAACTGTCGTTGATCAACATATTTCATTAATAAATAAATATTCACTCTTATAGTTGCAGGAAATATCCTAAACAAGTTTGTACTTTGCTATTTTCCAAAATTCAGTGAGTCTAAGAAACATGCGATCTGCGTTACTTTTTGAGTGTCTTTTCCTCTGTCCTTGGGCTAAATAATTTCAAATACAGAAATTCCTTTGAGAAAATCTTGAATATGTTACGGCTTTTTGTTTATTATTACTCAAAATCAGAATTTACGCTCCCAATTGGAAGGAAGGGTCGCACCATTTATGGATAACAATTTTGCTGAATATCGGGTTTAGCCAACAACATTGTTCACTGACGAACAACCCAAACGGACAATCTTTGGTCACTTTTTCTGTATCAAGAACTTGCAAATCGATGATATTACTACACAAACTATCAGAGGAAGTAATTTGAAATTAGATTTATTCATTTTTTCTATATCAGAGCCCAACAATACCGGGTTTTCTAACGAACAGTCTCCTATGTTTGTTGCTGCACTACAATTCTTTCTCTATACTACGCACGTAGTGTGCGAGAAAATAAAACCTACAAAGCAAATTCATCACATTCTCATCTCAGACCTCACTTTTTGCGCACCCACATCCTGCACCAGACGTGATGTTTAAGTGCAACGTCCGGCGCTTTTGAAGTACCTCGAGCAAAAAGTATCCTCAACATAACGTGGCCTGAGTCTCGCCATAAGGATCCCATTCGATCCCATTCGATCCGATCCCATTCGATCCCATTCGATCCGATCCGATCCCATTCGATCCCATTCGATCCCATTCGATCCCATTCGATCCCATTCGATCCCATTCGATCCGATTCGATCCGATTCGATCCGATTCGATCCGATTCGATCCGATTCGATTCGATCCGATTCGATCCGATCCGATTCGATTCGATCCGATTCGATTCTATTCGACCCGATCCGATTCGATTCGGATTCGGATTCGATTCGATCCGATTCAATTCAATCCAATTCTATCCAATTTAATCCAATTCAATTCGTGCAGAAAATGAAAATGTCCTTGTGGCGAAGGTCGTTGTTAACTGTTCATTTCGAAACTAAATAGCACCTCGTGGAAGTGCGTGGAAAAGCGCAGTGTAGCGAAGGCCGAGCGAAAGACGTTTCGGCGCGGGCGGTGTCCTAGAGTGAGTATCGAGCGTGGAGGCGGCGGCGGCGGCCCGGACGGGGGCGTGGCTCGCGGAGATTGGGCGGTGGCGGTGGCGGCGGCGGGGCACCCAGGTGTAATTGCGAGCGCCGTTAATCGATCAATCGAACGCCCTCAGCGCCTGCGGGTCGCCGTCCCTGCACAACGCCGCTAACGTCGGAAGAAACCGTTGGCAGCGAGCTGGGCGGGGAAGGTGACGGATGACCAGACGTAATGGGGAGGGGGAGAAGGGAAAGCATGAATTTGTGAGATTTGCAAATCGTTTAGAAGTGACACTTATATGAACTTAATAGTAACACAGTTCGTTTTTTATTATTGTATGCATGTATGCATGTATTTGACATTATAGAGTCGGTTAATTCGACTTTTGCTAGCTAGCGCTGTTCCCAATCCAATGTCCTATTTTTTTATTGAAACCACAACTGAGGGTAAGGGAGACAATCGGCGAGCATGTTATAACCCCACCACACCGTATCTTTGCATACTTTGCTTGCCTGACCTTTTTCTTTCGTCATAGCTGTAGAGAAGTGATTGATTTAAATTAGAAAAGCTACATCTTCATTTTTCGTGAAACAAGGGCTTCCTCAAAGAAAGCTATCACATAGTCCGTGACTAGAGAAAGTCTAATTTCTGATATCTTCATAATTACTTATATAACCAGTTATTTTCACGTTGTCTTGTAGACCTACGTAACATACTAATAATGAAAGAAAGGTCAATAATTCTGAATTGCGCCTAACATTTCGACCATTTTCTGAATCTTCTTGAGAGTGACACTGATGTAACCACTACTCAATTGAGTAATACCCTAAGTGAATCGTTTATTTCAGAAACCCATCAGTCCACAAATTCCTCATTTCGAGAAAACTGAGAAAAAGTCTCCCATTTTTTGTGGATTAAAAACATTTATATTTATTAAAGCAGTTGATAAATGAATAATTTTCATATAAATGTGTTCCAAATGATGTGCCTATCCTCTTGGAGCAATAATCCACCGCTAATGTGTGTTTTAGATTTTGGCGTTTCGCGGGTTTCTGAGATAAAAGATTCAATTAATGTTTAATTAACTAAATCTGTAGCCTATGTAGCCTATTTTGTGTACTTATTTGTTTGCAATAATCGATGCATTATAATGCTACAAGAATAGTAGTTAATGCAATTAGTTTATAATGTTCGGCTTTATTGCACGAGTACATGTTTTGAAAACGAGCGACTTTAGAAACAAATGTAAAAATGTTTCAAATGTGTGTGAATATAATAAATCAACATTATAAACGAGTTGCATACTTTATTTTTTGTGTAACAGCATTACACATTTATAAGAGAATCAAACTAATTTTGCGAAACATCTTCCCCGTGACGAATCGGGTATTTGTCATCGAGCGAGTAAACTGTGTTCGGCGGTTCCGTTTAGCTCTACCTCCACCCCCCCCCATTCTCTCTCTACGAATGGCTGAATGTGTGATGACGCAATCATTCGTGACATAAAATCTACTACGTTATCATTTCTGCCGTAAAATGGCCGATTATGAACGATTTCTTGCACCAGAAAAGGTTCTTTTATAATGCTGGAATAGAAAATAATATATTAATAGACACTATAATAGAGGCTTTACAGGCAAAACATTTATGTCTTTTCCAGTTAAAGAGAAACATGAAGATCGGTGATTACTAAAGCATACGCTAGTAGCGTTCGCCAAGAAACCTCTGAAGATAACTTTCTCTAAAGGAAAACCAGACTTGGAACATCATAAAAACAATCGTTTATTATAACTAAAAAAATGAAACTCAGAAATAATTTAGAACCTAATTTATTAATCAATAACCATCTACCTTTTTGAAGTGAATAAAAATGTAATTCTCTGAACCTGATAACAAACCTAATGTATCAAACAATAATTTCAATTTAGATTTTTCTCAATAAATATTAAATGTAAATGAATACGTATGCGCACATTCAAACCATTTTTAAAAAAACCACATCACTTTAGTACTTACAGCTCGTCTCTTGATATTATCTTCAGTAATCGAAGTCTTAATATTTTCCTTAATAATATTTCTTTTTTGTAGCATTAAATTTAATCCAATTTTTATATTATTTATTTACCAAACCAACTCCTTTACGAACGTTGTTATAATATGCGTTCATATCGTGGTGTGAAAACATTATGCTTATCTATATGATCAGAACTCTCTATTTCCTATGAGTATCGTAAGCGAGTGACGTTTGCAATAATTGTTTAACCTTCCCTACATAGCATTTGACTTCACGTTGAAACCTTCCGGATCCATCGTTGTATGTTTTTTGGCACCCTTCGTTCTCATTGCATTCTCCGTGATCTCGGCCAAGTTTTCACTTGTTTCATAGGACGCCCCGCAAAGAATACTACCACAATGTCCAAATATTTTGTTTTTTAAATATTTATTTAAGCTCGCCTTAGAAACAACTAGGCCATTTGCAGCCACAGTTACAAAATAAAGAACTTACAAATATACGGAAATATTGCAAGGCGTTACATACATTCCAGATAGAACGTTAATGAAGTACTTGAACTTGAGATTGACAATACCTAATCAATTGCTACATACAATACAATACAATACAAATGTCGAAATGTATTTTTCATGATTTCACTAATTTTATTAATAAAGGTCTTCTATTAAATTATCACACATTGTGGTCTTTCTTAAGGGGCATGTTTATCCTAATGTATTTCCTTCTTGAATTCCTTCATTTCCTACATTGATTGGTTTAAAACGCAATAAAAATGGTATTTTCTCCAATTTTTTTCGATGAAGCCTTACTGATTTGCATTGACAAAAGCCTCAAATGTTATGCTTAAAGCGTTATTCAACCCAGGAATATAAAAGGAAACCAAACAAAAATGGGCAATAAGACAATCTTGACTCAAATAAGAAAATTAAATGTAACGTTCAAACTTTCACTTAAGTTGATATAAACATCCCAAGGAAATAAAATGTGATTTTAGTCGTTTTTCTGTTTGCTGGCTGTTACGCTAGTCTGACATTTCCATTACTGGATACCTTGTTTATGATTAGAGCGTTGACAGCAAGATTGAGTTTGAAATAAAACATTATTGTTTTATCGATTTTATGTTCATTAAATAAATATGTCACGAACACGCAGACTATTTATAAGGATAAAATTGTTATAGAAACCAAACCTTTATGTCACAAAAATATTTTTTTTGGTAAAACTTTGATTCAACATGCGAATTGCGGAACGTAATTGTGTGTCCCATGAGAGTTTCGACAATACTGAATCCCAGCTTTTTGTATCTACAGTCGTACACCAATGGAATCTGTATGTGTGAGAGTGTACGTGTGTGTGTGTGTGTGTGGGGGGGTAAACGATGGACCCAGCCTCATTGTTTTCCACTATCTTCGTTTAGGTAAAGGGTTTTTGTTTGTTCATTGAGTGTTTTTAGTACTATATAGGAATTTTCTAAATCCTTAGTAATCGTTTAATCTTTCGACGCTTGTGAGATGTTTACAAAAAAACGTAGAATCCGTCGCCATGCGTAATCGCTCCGTGGAAATTTCAGCATTCTCTTCAACCATGAAAAACAACTCTCTTACAATCACGTTGAAACTTAATTTTAGTGTATGACGATGTAGAGAACAGTTATGCAAATGGATCAATGGAGTAAATTTTTTCTTCAAAAGAAGAACGTCCCAGAGCCCAAGTACTACATATGACCTACATAATTATGCAGTTGCTATATCTCGAAAACTGAAAATATGAAAACACACACAGACACACACACATGTCGAACATGATTGCAAAAATATATATAGTTCTAGGAGTACCGATAAAGAATTGACAGAAGACTTTTAATTCGTTATTTTGTAATCCAAAAATAATATATTGTTATTGAGGTCAAATTTCTTCTAAACATTTGTTTTGTTCACAACTGTTCGTCGAGATAACGCTAGTAAATTACAAGTTGAATAAAAATGAAATTAAATATCTTAGTGTGTTAGATGTTTAACTAAAATTTTAATTTTTTGCAGGTAAGGTGTACGCAACCACACGGCCTAAAGATATATATTATGTAAGTATTTTATGCCTGTAGTATTTGCATGTATCAAACCAGTTTATAAAGTACTAATTACTAAATGAATAACCGCTTCCGCACTAAAAGCAGCATTACAAATGCGATCATTATAGAATATAAAACCTCTTTTCGATTTTTTTTATTTTTACTATCACCACTAAATAGTATTTGGGCCGAAAAGATAGAAGTTCAATGCTTTGTTTTAATTAGTGAATTGAATTCAATATGAACACACAAAACACGTATTTTATTAAATGCATGACTTTATATTTAATTAAATAATATCCCAATCAAGTTGTTATTAAAATACGAAACAAACGCTAGCATATTATTCTCTAAATGCTTTTGGGTGGAATTTATATTTTCAATTGTTAATTTATTCCAAACTACATTTTCATCATTTTCGCAACTTTAATATTTGTAACGTTTTTACCACGAGTTTAAATAGCACATACTATTCAAAATATTAACCACAGTATCGTAAATTAGTACACATTTTGGTCTCTACTCGGATGGAAATTCAACAGATGAAGCGTTTGAAG